TTTTGACTCAATGCTGCGAAAAGAAACAGCATCACAACTTGTGAGCATCAGGATTCAGATCGGAGTCCACAGCAGAATCAACTAAGGCTCAAGATCAAAGATGCAAGAGATCTATAAATAGGAATCTTGTAACCCATAGTTGATAGGCTTAGCTAGCTTAGCTTTTGATTTTCTTTTGGTGTAATAAGGAGGTCAGTAAGCAGTAGCAGCAGCAACAGCAATGAGATCACAGCTCCTGGTAGTCCCAGCTACCAAATTTTCCCGAACTACACTGACCTGATTCCTGTTTAGCCAAGGATATGTAGGCAACCTCAGAAGCAGGGTACGGTCAACTCTTTCAAGATGCTTCACATGGAATATGCAAACTGGCAAAAATCGCTCATTTTCGCTCACTTGTCTTTGCACGAAAACCCTTCGTGTTTCCGGGCAAAGAGGGGCAGCTGTGAGCACGTGATTTTTGCCCTAAGCAAACTAATTCCAAAAGTTTCAAATAATTGATTTCCTTATTATTTTACAATTTTTTGTGATTTTTGTTAAATTTTTGTGTCAATTAGTTGCATTTTTCATATGAAAATACAGAAAAATATGCACATGCATTTAAGAATTTAATTTCACAATTTTAGTATTAATTAGGCATTAATTAGATTTAGAATAAAGTTTAAAGAAAAATTGCAAAAAATAGTCTTGTTGCACTCTTAATTGTTAATTGTTGCGTTTTATTTCTAAATAGAGTTTTAAGTAATTTTAGGAGTTTAAATAGTTTAATTGAGTCTTTGTTTTGTTTTAGCATTTTTTATAAAATCAAGAAAAAACAAAATAAATACAAAATACAAAAAATATATAATACACAAGAAAGTAAAGAGGGCTGCCCAAGAATTGGGCCCAAATAGCTGAGCCCAAACAGACTTGGCACCCAACCCGTCCAAACCCGGTCCAGTCTCACCCGGTCCAGCACCCCCAAACCCCAAAACGACGTAGTTTAGATGGTATTAATCTCAACCGTTGATCTATTTTGATCCAGCGGTCCGGAACTGACGAGGTTTAGGGTATAAAAATGTCGGAACCCCCCCCCCCCTTACCCCCTCATTCATCTCCCTCACACCCCACTCCCTTCCCCACCGGAAATCGTCACCCCCGCAGCCCCGCCGTATCTCCGCCCCCTTGCCACCTTCCGCCGCCGCTCGCCGCCGGCGGCGTTGCTCCAAATAACCCCAAAAATACACCATGGAATCCTCTCATCCTCCTCTTTCCAACCCCCAACCTAATTTCCCTCAAATCACAACCAAAAGGCTCGGATTTTAAATCTAAAATTCGGCCAAAATCCTACTTTCTCCAAACTCAACCAAATTAACACCATACACTCCCCTCACCCTCCTCATTCCAAATCTCCAAACGATAACCTTCAAAACCTAACCAAAATATTCGAATTTTAAATCTAAAAAAATGAAACCCTAGTTTAACATTTTTAAGGTTCTCGACCCTAATATCCTTAACCAGGTGTCTCCTTGTTTAAGACACCTGATTAGGTATATTACGGGTCAAGAATCTTTTTTTAAAAAAAAAAAAAAGGATTCGCGTGTTCGGGGATCGAGTCGAGCTTACCCGCCTCCAACAGTGAGTTTTCTTCCTTTTCCATTTTTCCTTTTTTTGGTTACTGTTTGTATTAATTCTTATTTTTGTTTATTATTTCCGATTTATGTATCTTTTGTTCGCTTATTTTTCCAGTTAGTGTTGCTTTAGATTTGTAGTAATTTTCCTTAAAATTTTTATCCTTGATTTGTTTAGTGTTAGTGGTTGATTTAGTTCGTAATTAAACTTTAATCTAAATATTAGTAATTGTTTGTTTAATATTGGTGTTTTGAATTCTGTTTAGGTGTTATTTATTTGAGTTAGCATTTTCTGTTGATATAAGTAATTTAATATTCTGGTATGATTATTGATTTGGTTATAGCTGACAGTTTTAGTATAGCTTGGTAATTTCAGACTAGTAGAAAGATAGTTTAGGCATAGAAAAGGGTAGTTTTATTAGGAATAGTAATTGTAAAAGCAAGAGAAGGGTAGTGTAGGAATTGCAATAGGTGTAGGACCTTCTAGAATAGACTTTAGTATAGTTTTTAATAAAATAAGTGTTGTTACTTGGGTAATAAGTCTCAAAAATGAGGGACTGAAAGCTAAATAAGAGAGGGACTAAAAAGAAAACTAAAATCTGAAGGTAGCTTTAGGTTTTGCCTATAAAAGGCACCTACATTGCCTTGTGCAGCAAGGGTTAGACCCTGGAAAAATTCTCTGGAAGTTTTAAAAATCCCTGCCAGTGCAGGATTGAAAATTTTCAGCTGCTTAAAATTCTAACAGTTTCAGATTCTAGCCTTAACATTCTCAATATGTGAGGTTTATTTTTCGAGATTCCTAAGCTGGTTCTGAGTTGATATTGGTCTATTCAAGTCGAAAATTCCAGTTTATTTGTTGGTTATTGAGCTGTTGGGTCTCCTTTGGTACTAATACTGAGATTTGAGACTAAGTTTTGAGCTGTTGCTGCCTTCTGCTGCTGCTGACCTTACCTCTTTCTCTGTATACAATTTCTCAGGTACTTATCATGTAAATCTCAAGTTGAAGACATGAACCGGAATACAACATAACCCTTTTGTTAATTCATGCNAATAGGCTTTGGATCTGGACTTACATTAAGTTTGGGCTCCCGGGAAGCCCAAATCCTCTCACTAATTTACCTGAATTCAATTGGGCTTCTGGCCCAAAACCCTCTTGGTTTGTTCTATAAAACTAGTGCTAGTTAACAACAATGGGCCAAATTTGCCCAGCACTAGGTCTGCACCTGACCAGCCTTGCGTGACAGAGTTGGGCCCAAGCCTGTAAGGCCAAAAAAATTGCTGAAGGACAAATTTCGTTGAAACAGGCATTTAGAACATGAAAATCAGTATTGCAATTATAGATTTAGGTTCTCGAGTTAGGTAGCGGGCTCAAATTAAGAGGGCCTTCTCTTGTTTGAGTTCGGACTTGAACTCGAGACCCGAGTTTATAGAAAAAAAAAATGCAAATTAATTAGGTTCCTTCGAGATAACATTGTAGTAAAAATCATAGTTCTCTAGAATGGCTTTTAAATAAAACGTGAGACGAGCCTCGCCAAACAAAACATATAAACTGCGGGGCCCTCATTAAGTACCATATTAAAATATTTTAGAAATTAAGTGTGCCATTTAGCAAATTTCCATGGCCCCCCGCAAAGTTAATAACACGTTAGTCGCTTTAGGAGCGTTCTCTAATAATATTACCTTCTTAAAGTCAGGTGTGCATTTCATGTGACCCAAATCCAAATCTCAAAACGTTGAATAAGAGGTGTTGAGGATCCGGGTGCATTTCATGTGACGTGATCCAAAAGCACGCTCTTAAACGGCGTTCACTTTCGTAAAAATAAATTATAAGCGGTAAATAATATTAAAACTGCACTATAGGTCCGAGCATGTATTTAAAACTAGAATTTCAGCCATGTATAATAATTTAAGCGACCGTGCTAGAACCACGGGATTCGGGGGTGCCTAACACCTTCCCTCGGGTCAACAGAATTCCTTACACAGAATCTCTGGCTCGCAGACTCCAATTGGGAAGTCGAATTTTTCCTCGATTTGGGATTTAAATTAAACCGGTGACTTGGGACACCAAAAGCCAATCCTTTCCCAAGTGGCGACTCTAAAAGTAGATAAATGATCCCATTTCGAATAATGTCACTTTAAATGGAAAAACTCCCTTATACATTTATCCGTCAGGGTAGGTGTGTAAAAAAGGAGCTGTGACACAACTAATTATATATTATACAATTTATCTACAACTTTCACACATTATTTCTACCCAGTTACATACAACTACAATAACATACAACTTAAATACAAATTTTATACAATATGTCTTTTGTATATTTTGTATCTGATTTATACATAGTAAAAATAAATTTCATACAACTAAATATATATTATACAACTTATCTACAATTATCATACACTATTTCTACTCAGTTATATACAACTACAATATCATACAACTTAAATATATTTTTTATACAATGTTGTTCAACTTTCATACAATAGTTAAATAAATAAAAGAAAAATATATAAACAACAGAATATAATTTTTCTACAATTTTTCTATAATTTTATTACAATTTCTGCAGTATAATGTATGTCATGTCTTCTTCTTCTTTTTTGAGTTCCAATCTGAAATTCAGCCAAAATCAAGTCTAATCTTCACCAAAAACTCCTCAAAATTGAGATATAAACTCCAAACCACATTCCCAATTGAACAAATAATGATTTTTGAAAATTCAAATTCGAATCAAAACTTCAAAGCTTTTTAATGGCTGTCAATGGTGGAATTACTACTCTCTTTTCTTTTGCTTTACATTACTAAAATTTGGAATTGAGAGATAGAGAGAGGCGTAGAGAGAATTCTCAATTCTTTGCAACAACATCCAATCCAAACAAACAATGCTTTTTGAAAACCCAAATTCGAATTCAAAGCTTCAAAGCTTTTTAATGGTTGTCAATGGTAAAATTGTTGCTCTCGAGGGCGGGGGGAGATAGGGGATATGGAGAGAAAAATGTGAAAGAGTGGAAGATATGTTAGAGCAATTTCAAGACACTAATTATTATCATCAATTCCCTTAAAATGTACATAAATAGTTATTGGGTATATAAAATATAATTATAGTAAAACATCAATCCCTCCAAGTAGGCTATCAGCTCAGCGGAAGATGTTAGTGCGCTCCATTTGCTTCGGAGTTGCTTGTTTGGTTAGTATTATTTAGACGTGTATTGTTTTGTATCTGTCCTGACCTTTATGAAAATTATGTATTCTTAGAGGCTTGTAGCCAGATGTCATGTACGTAAAAGATTGTATTCTTAGAGGCTTGTAGCCAGATGTCATGTACGTAAAAGATTGTATGGACTTGTCGGCCTATGTTCAGTACACGAGTGGTTATTTTGATCTTATCCTTAAAAAATAGGCTGGAGAACTTATCACAACCATGAAACAATAAACTATTCATGGGATTCAATAAGCCTATACAAAATAATAATTTACAAGTCTCCCTGCAACTGGACGGGTGCGGTCAAGTGACATGACGATAATGACATTTGGCTCAAGCTTAACCTCGTATTATTGTCTTCAATCAAGCCAGTATTAGCGTCTTTGCTTACCGTTAAACATCGTCTTTTAGCTTAATCTTTAATTTTCGTATTTGTTTAAGCCGTTGTCTACGTTTCCGGCTGCTAGCTTCAAATGGATCCACCCAGTTTTGGTCTTCCTCAACAGCTCGTTCCCACCGTTCCTTAAATATTTGTAGCTCATGCGTTGACTGTCTTCGAATCTGGAATTGAAATTATGAATAGAATGCTAAAACACTGAAGAAAACTGTTTGGTAACTTAAACTATAAAACACTATTTGTTGAAAATGTGTGTGGTAACATAGCAGAATAGAAGCACTGTCTCACCTCAGATCGCACGTCAACGTCGTGTCTCTGATAGCCAAGAGGAAAGATAAACAAACAAAAACAAGAATCAGCAAAAGCTTGACATTGAAAATTCTCAAAGTGCCAAAGCAGAGAAGTAAAATTTTATATACCTTCGCAGACTCGTCAAGATTTGAACGCTGCACAAAGATGGAGCAATGTAAGTGGAGGCAAATGAAAGGAGCACATAACATCGCAAACTCTATCGATTACGCTGTCAAAGTAATTTAACTTTGGCAATAGGTCACTGGTCTATCTTCCATGTTACTCATATTAAACTTAATATGAAGAGTTGCATGCTATTGTAGGTACATCTATGACACGTCGATGCACAAAACTTAAACTCTGTCGGTAATTATCCATCTATTTACACCTAAACTGAAGTTTGAATAAGAACCTGAATGCAATTATGACATACTTTTGGATAATTAACAAAAGAGGACAACCAAATTGAGTCTCAACGCTCCAACCAACGATATAGTGCATAACATTACCTTTTTCAGAGATGGCCCTCCCAGAGTTTGAATGCCTTGGTGAACGATATATTCACTATCAACTATTCCAACTTTTTTGGTTCGGTCCCCCTACAACAATTTCAAGTTTCACGTTAAGTTAGAATCGTGGATGCACCCACGACTTCCAAATAATAATAACAGCATTCACAGAATTCTTCTATCCTGTAGCATATCTTAATCAAATTCCAAGCAACGAGAAAAGAAGCAGAACAATTCATATATTATGCAACTCTGTGCTTCTATCAGAATAAACCGAGTAAAAAAGCATTTAAAGGAACTTTTACATGTCCACCTCATAATATAACAAGTGAATAAAAGTGAACCAATACTTAGCAGTCATAAAGAAGCGATCTAACCTGTGCACAATAACCAAGTTTCATGTCCATTCCCCATCCGTGAACAAGATCGTTCTGATAGAAAGAAGCGGTTAATTAGAATATCATTCCAGTAGGTTTAAATCAGTACACGTGAGGAAAAACAAAGCAGGTAAGAAAAGAACACGCAAAGAATGCTTCAGCATTAGATGTCAAAGTGCAAGCGAAAAGCAATCGCACATGAAATGGAGGATCCTAACTAAATAAAAAACACATTAAAACAGTAGAAGAGTAACTCCAAGTGAAACTGAGCAAATACACATTTTCATAAAGATATTGTTAACTCTTGCATAAGTTTCTAACGAAAATAAAAAGATAGTTAAGCTATCCCTCAAAGAACACTCCTCGGAAATTACGTTGGCATATACATAACCAAAAAGATAAGGACATAAATTGCTTTTTATCTTGACAAGAACAATGGTGAATTTGTTTCATATTGCTTTAAGAAATGTCAGAAAATATGGGCGTCAGCTGAGACGGATACCATAATTATACCTGTATAAGATGCCAAGCACAAAGCCAAGCGGATCTTGAAAAAACAGGAGCCATTCCTTCCACAAATCTGCAGAAGAGTGTGGATAATACTCATTATAGTAGATTGCGAAACATCTCAAAAGATTTCATCAAATTCAAAAGACGCTTGAAGCAAAATTTTCTCAAAATTATTTAAAAGATTCTCATTTATATAGACATAAAAGCTTGGTAATGTAAAAATGAAAAGTGTACCACACAGGAAAACAAGATATCCATTAACTCAATTAATGTAAAAGAGAAAGCAAGATCAAATATGGCCCAAGGATAATAGCAATCGTCCTAATTGCATAAAACTTACCCGCTGCATGGCGGACCTTCGCTTTCATCTGAACATTTTGTACTACCTCTACTATCATACACTCTTCTGCTTAAATAAAAGGTGCATTAATATTTGCCAAAATATTCCAAAACATTAAATTTGAAGAGTTGGATTATCACAGCTCACCTGTGGAACCTTTTCTTCTTGCTTCTTATTGTGATTCTATGATGTATATCTGTTGAGTTTCGGTCCAGCGCTGGCTGAGAAATTTCCAGTCCTTCTGATTTCACAATTTTGAGGTACCTGAATAAAAAGAGAAGATCCAATAGGGAAAAGAAATTGCCAAACGGACTTGTAAGACCACCGTAAATATGATAAAGCTAGGAGGCAGGGCAGCCCGGTGCACTAAGCTCCCGCTATGCGCGGGGTCCGGGAAGGACCGGACCACAAGGGTCTATTGTACAGCTTTACCTGCATATCTGCAAGAGGCTGTTTCCACGGCTCGAACCCGTAACTTCCTGGTCACATGGAGGCAACTTTACCAGTTACGCCGAGGCTACCCTTTAAAGCTAGGGGAAAGAGGCCAAAACAAAAGGAAAGCCTCCATAACTCTAGCTAAAAACGACCCATAAATATGAAGACTGACCCATATTTTACCTTCCAGGGTGGAAATTCTTCACGCCCAAATCTTCATCCCAAAGGAAAATGTAATCGTAGATAGAAACAACAGCAGGATGTAAGAACCGCTTCGCAAACCACCTAACTCAAAATTAAATCACAGCACTGATAAGATCCTCTACTTCATAAACATATAAACTGGTCATAGAAATTCACATGAAGACAATTTTGCAAAAAATGAAGGTCTTAGATAGACCTTCCAATCATTGAGTTACAAGGCAAATACAAGTTAAAGGAAAGCTACTTAGATAAAAACTCGAAAATTGGATTTCAATTTCATTTTTCAATGTCAAAAGCAATAGAGTTTATCATCTGTTAAGCAACAGGTAGCAGACTGTCCACGATAAGATATGAAGAAAGACAAACTTCCAGCAATTGGAAACCAAACGACTACTCTTCTCTGCTTTCGTTGACAGCACAACAATCAGTCGTCCACAATCAAGATAATGAATTGCACACACCCCCCCCCCCCCAACTCCCCTTTTCTGGTCAGGTCATAGTGAAATTTTTTAGTTTACATCCCCCTTCCCCCTAGGATTAGGAAGACAGCAATCTCTGATTTCAAACTATAGACATTTCAGCTAATTCCAAATCATTGATATTAGTTCATACCATTTTGTTTGGTTGTTTGCAACAATATGAACGGCTTCTTTACTCCATTGGAGGTCCCACCAGCCATCAACATGTCCATCATAGTGGAACAAGACAATCGTAAAATTCTCTGAAAGAAACTGAATAAAGTAAATCAGGCATCAGATATGATAGAAAGTCAGACAGATTAGTCAATTACAATTTTTTTCCAGAACAAAGACAAGTAAGATGTTTTACCTTTTGGACAAGAGCATCAACATTACTCTTTTGTTTAACACCAACTGCAATTGCCAACAGGTTGCGAGAGCTAGAAATGCTAGCCTGAAAATGGAAATATACCGAGTGAAAGATCGTGAGTGGAAGAGAAAGGCTAGTTTTAATCCCATATAACAATGAAAATTAGAAATACTAAAGGAGGCTGCTCTATTTATTCCGCAATTAAGGAGAAGAGATAGACCTTGGATCTCGAACCACTTGTAGACCAAAGAGGCATTAACTCCAGATCTGAGCTTGGTTGAATAATACCACGAGGCAAACTGTTCAAACGTGTGATATCCACATCGGAATCCTGCATGAAAGAACAGAAAAACTTAAGTACCATTGATATGAAATGTTTTTGCCGAATACTTTAGCTCATGCAAGAACCGGAAGCTAATATAGTGTCATTTTCATACAGACAATTACAAATGCCAGTAATAAATTTATAGAGATTCTTGCAATTTCTATTTGCCAACACCATTGCCATACCTTCTGCTGTTAAAGGTAATAAGAAATATAGAAAATAGAATAGGAATGCAACTACCTTTGAAGAATAAAAGGGGTCTAACTTCGACTCCATCTGAAAAGGTAAACAGGAAAATATGGTTGTCAGCAAAGTGTCGGCATAGTTCTCAGGCAGAGCATTAAAAGGTCGAATGAGCAATTCTTTTCTCTCACATAGCAATTAGCTTATCTCTTATATTAGACATTCAATTATTATCTAAATACAAGCGACAAAATATTAAGAAATCAATAATTGAACCGTCATACCTCTGTCTGTTGATACTGATAATTAGTGGTCCTATACACAATAAACAACATAACTGTACACATAATCACCATAAAAGGCAGCTGTTTCACCTTTATTCCCCATGTTACCTGCACTCCCATTATCAAAAGTTCAGCAAACAATAAACCTGAATGTTCACGAAAAGAGGGAAATAAGTTAATGTGATATTTAGCTACTATGCATTTGCATACCCCGTCAACAAAGACACTCTTTTTCTTAGGTGTCGCCACCGCCATGATAGATGCCCCCATAGGTGACTATGATATCAAAAAGATGCTCATTACAAGCTGCAGCAATTACAATTTGATATATACGTTAGCGATAACCATTAAATAGTGTAGGCAAAATAGCAAAAAAATATTCCTAAAAGTTTTCTTTCTCCAACTCATGAGAAGATAACATTAATTGTAGAACCCGTTATCAACACGTATGGAAGGGGATTCAGAAAAGAATATTTACAATATGCTTCCCTAGTATTTGACCACTATTTATCATTATTCCCACCTAATTACCAACAACAACAACAAGCCCAGTGTAATCCCACAAGTGGGGTCTTGCAAGGGTAGTGTGTAGCAACCTTACCCCTACCTTGCGAAGGTAGAGAGATTGTATTCTGATAGACCCTCTCTCCGCTCAAGCAAAGCACAATCCCACCTAATTACCATATGGGAATAATTCAGATATTGCTCTTATTTCACCCTACTTACTTGGCTACAAGTGCACAGCAAAGCAGTACACCCGAGCAGCCATGTGGTGTATGCTATAATGTAGGGTGAAATAACACTAAAAGGCTTTATAATCAGTGCTCTAAACACAGGAAGTGAGTTACCCAAGCACGAACCCAGTGAGAACATTCCACCGACCATTATATGACAAGTCATATTGCATGTCGCCGTGGCACTGCTTTCTTGACATTCTGCTTAAAGAGTACTAAAATTGACATTCTGCTTAAAGAGTACTAAAATTGCTAAATCAACCGCTCCTACAGAATAGCTGGTAATACCACTTAAGGGCATATAAACTGTCTACCCGCTAACCACTTCTACTAAGTACTAAGGTTGGGTTTAATAGGAACAAGAAACTTGGACGTAATAAACAGGCGCAGGCGCACCTATCAGAATCGGAACTCTAATGCCCTTAGAAGACCTACTCAAGAAGCTGTTACGGCCAGAGGGGGATCCAAAATTTAAACTTGATGGGTTCAACCTTTTAGGATTCTTATACTTTTAACACTGAACTAATTGTACTTTTTAAATTATGGGTTTCGATCTAAATCTATTGAAATTTTAGTGGATTTTCACACAAACACACATACATGCTATGTACCGCAAATACTAGTAGACGTTAGGATGAGCCCGGTACCTAGGCCTACAAGACAATTCACACAATCAGGGGAATAAAAAGGGCAACCTAGAGCACCGCGTTCACGCATGGTCCGAGGAAGGGTCACACCTCGGGGTTGTGATGTAGACAGCCTAACCTCATGCAAGCGGCTGCTTCCACGACTCGTACCCGTGACCTATAAGTCACACTGGAAACAACTTCTACCGTTCCTCTGCTCCAAGGCGCCTCTTCCATACATACACTCAGGGGAATAAAAAGAAAAATTGTAGACAGAGACACCCTCAAAGAGGAATCCAATTCCAGAAAGGTTCTTGCCATCAACATTAAAAAAGCGTATATTTTGTTAATTTTGGAAAATTTTGCATGCAGAGTAGACAGATTTGGTCAATTCCACTTGCCACCTTATTTTGTTTGCATGCAAGTCCAGATTTGCAAAAGTAGACATATAGCCCACAGGAACAGAGATACCCAATCAAAAATTTCAATCCATAGAGTGATTTGTCAATATCACATATACAAACTAAAAAGATTACAAAAAATAACAGGAACCCAGAATTAAGAAGAAAAAATTAACAACACATACTCTCACCAGAATTTCAGTATTTCTGCAGAAAGAAACTTCAGCTGTGCACATAAATAACAAAAAGAAGCAGCTTTTTCTACCCAAACAAAAGGAGTGAAATTCATAATTTTGATTCCAATATAAAATACTCATAAAAACGTATTAAATAAATTAGTACTAATAAAGGAACTGATGTTTCAACAGGATTCAAGAACTTTAGAAATTCAAAATAAGGGGAAGAATTAAATGAACAGAGAACGTTACTCGTGACTTTTCAAGATGAAAAATACAGACCCCATAATTACACACTTTAATATAAATTAATAGAATTAGCATCAACAGCACTCAAAATTAATATTACTAATCAAGAATTAGTAAAACTGATCAGCTCATGCAAATAAAAAACTAAAAAACATGAAACGGAGGAAAACAGAGAATATGAACAAATACCTTAGAATTCAGATAAACCCCAGAAGAGTTAGCTTTTGATTCTTTTGCAAGTGAAAGGTGTAATTATAATAATAACTTAAAGAATATAAGAAGTTAGTACGTCACCGAATAATATGGGAAAAAGATCTTATATTTATTGTGTATTTATATGTTGAGTCTATGGAGAGAACTGAAGGGGAGAGGGTAGGGTGGTATTGGTGGGTAGGTGGGTAATGGAGGGTAGGTGGGTTAGTGAGGGGGGTGGGGGAAAGAAAAGGTCTTTGAGTTTGGACAGACAAAACTGTCGAAAGCGCCACGTTTTAGAGGAGCTTCAACACATGTTGTCACTAGGAAACGCACCAAAAGCCGCCACCATTAGCTTGCTTTTTTCAATTTAGTATTTTTATCGTAGAATTAAATATACAGAATATGTGTATTTAATACTGTTTTTGGTAATTAATTAAGAATATGTGTGTGTATATTTAATACTTATACACATAGGAATACAAAATATATACTACACACAAGGGTATAAGACAGTGTATTAGTAATATATTAACATCCACTTACATATAATATAACGTATACTCTCTTGTCTCCGTACTTATAGATCGCGTCCTCTCTTTTGATATGATAGTAATTGACAATATGAAATTTTAAAAAACAAAAACTTCCACATACAAATTAAATACAATAGTGTGTGTGGTGTGTGTATAATATGTATCCTAGGAATATAAACAAGTTATCTACGTAGTACACGTGTTTAGGGTCAATCATGTTCAGTACAACTGCTTTCTTTCTTTCATCTTTTTTTTTTTTAAATTGTTTAGTACACTTTTTTTTTTTACTTTATTCTTTTTTTTTTTAAGGACTTGTTGAAAGCTCAAAGAAGCTGGACCATGTATCTTTTACAATTAAAAAAAAGCTAATCTGGTATCTACATTAATATCAAGCTCGTAATGAATAACGTGATCTAGCACTTGACGTAATGATACTATAGCAATTGCGAGGCTGTGGCGTAGCTAATTTGTTGAATATTTTTCGTCAAAAAATTATATGGTGTATATATGTTCAAATATTACTTTATATATATATACACACACTAATTTTAGTGTACGTGCTCTACGCATGTACCCATATCAATGAGTAGATAACTATTATAAATCACATAAGTATTATATATTATATATGCCTAAAAATAACTAACTCTGTAAAGGAAAAATATCATGCCCCACATATTAAAAAAATTAAATCTTGTGATCTATATATATTTAATCTTAAATACGCTTAATAAAATTTCTGATTTTGCCACCGTAGCGAGGCATCAAATAAAACTAGGAGTTGTAGTTTTATCCATTAATCTTTCGACCTATTTATATTTTGTTCCGTTCCAAGAATTCTAATATGATATATATACATATCTAGAAACAACTAAATATTCTAGCACAATATGATTACATGAACGTCTAAAACCTATATATAGTTATATACCATGTTGATGATAGGCTATAATTACGTATTTTAGTCGACTATTACACTCTAATTTATTGCACTTTAATTGAGTTTGAGCTTTAATCGCTAGTGTTTTGCACTAATGGTGTGTTTTATGCCTTGTAGGAGTGATTCCGAGCTATGTAGATGTTATGGAAAGAATTCGAGTAATTTGGAGCTTTAAAGTTTGAGTAAAAGTTCAAGGAATTAAGCCGGGATCGTGTTTGGGGGTCAACGGATGATAGTTAGAGCGAACGAAGACTCCAGTAGGCATATTGCGCACTGTCTAGTAAAACAGATATAACTTTTTGCTCAGAACTCCATTTGGGCTTCACAATATATGATTGGAAAGCTAACTCAAAGGGCTACAACTTGTTTGGGCCCAACCCTACTTGGTATATATACATGGAAAAACGGTATTTTGAGGGAGAAGGACGTTTTTGAGAGGAAAACACAAGCACAGAGCCGCCGTGGAGGCCGGGTTTCATCTTTTCTTCCATCAAACTTAGTAATTTTTATGTTTCTTTGTACGATTTGTTGTTTGCTACCATGTCTATGTGGAGCTAAACTTCACGTTCTAGGGTTGTGGTTCTTTCATGACTATTGTTATTCGGATATTGATTTTGATTGCTTAGTTTATCATATTGGTTTATTTATTTAATCCTGCACTTAATTATTTGATTGCTTGATCACCAATTGAATACTATCTACGAATCTAGAGTTGAACTCGAAAGTGGGAATTCTAGATTGCATATAGGATTGAGTAGAGCAAGTTCTTGAACCTGGGCATCGGCGAACGGATTCGCGGTTAGGATAGACATACACCTAATTGCCTTGCTTGGTTGATTTACAGGAATTATAAATGCGTTCTTGTTGATTCTAACTCCACAGACATATAGGCGTTAGGTTAGCTTGAATAGGCGAGTAAGAACTCGACAGATTCTTATGAGCAATATTAACCCTGTCAACCAATAAACTCGATAAATTAGTTAGTCAATTCAATTGAAGAATACAATAGGAATGCTAGATAGCCCATAACCCTAGATCGTTTTTATTACATTGATATCATAAAAATCTGCTCTTCCTCTGTTTAAAGTTCATTATTTATATTCTTTATTTAATTAGTTTAGAATCAATTACTTCTAGGTTTAATTCTTGTTTAGATAATTAGTATAGTCTAATTTAGTTAATAGTTAATCACAAGTCCTCGTGGGATCGACATCTGACTTTTAGTCACTTTATTACTTGACGACCGCGTATACTTGCGTGTGCGTTTGGCCGCAACAAGTTTTTGGCGCCGTTGCCGGGGACTTAGAAATTAACTATTTTTCTATATTAGACTTTTACTTTTATCTTTACAAGTTTTGATTTTTTCTTCTCTTTTTGTAAATATTTTTATTTTTATAATAATTTTGATCATTCTCTTAGTGTGTTTCTAGTTCTCTCAACATGACATCTGGGGATGAAATATCCGGAGGTAAGGTTATTGATGAAGAAGCATGGTTGACGGAAGACTTTTATGGCCCGTCTTTTTGGGCTTGTCATGACCTGATTTCTGGGAGGTCTGAATTCGAATATGGGAGTAAGGGTTGGTATTGGAAAGAATAGTCACGATTAAGGGGATACGAGGAACGACGTTGTCTTCTGACAACGTTGGTGAATGATTGGTCTAAGGAGAGAGATGAACTTGTACATAAAATTGATAATTTTTGCTTGGTTGTACATAACTTAGATGCAGATTTGAGCACAAAGGTTGATGCGTGTAACGCCCAACAAATTAATAATGAGTTGTATGAAGCTGAAAAAAATCTTCTAGACCAAATTGAGGAGCTAAAACGAGAATACCAATCACTAGACCGTGTTTTTCTTGAGGATGCCAATATTGAGAAGAGTGCTCTAAAGTCATATGAGGGAGTAGATAATATTACTTTGGGAGACTTGAATGTGTGTAAATATGGGGATGCAAATAGTAGTAAAATTCATGAGTTAGAGCGCATTAGACCTCATTCCAATCATTTTTTCACATTGTGTTTAGATAGTAAGATAGTAATCGAGCCATCTGAGCCAATGAAGGGGTCAAAGAGTGAGGATGAGAGCGCCTATATTCTTGAATTTGTTGTGCCAAAAAGCAAAAATTACATTCCTCATCTAAAGGCCGAGAGGTGCAGAGTGAAAAATTTATTACTTGGCCTGGTTATCTTTGTAGCCCCACCAAAGGTGCATAGCCACCGACTGGATGCCATGTTAGGGGTACAATTCATAAGTTCAAGGTGGAGACAAAAATTGGTTCAAGTCGTGCCGCGACTTTAAATTAGGCGCTTGTTGGGAGGCAACCCACCTTTACTGCTTTCTTTTACTTTTATTTATTTATTTTTTATTTTATTTTTCTATCTTTGTAGCATTTTTTTGTAGGATTATGAGCATAAAGAAAAGCCACTGGAAGTGTGCAAATGCGAGCCAGCTGGTTGGAACTAGTGTGAGGTACCCGCACAAAGGACCATCCTTGGGAGAAGTCTGAGTACCCCGTGAGCTGATAGTGCTTCGGCCTTTGGCCTTTCAGGGAGTTTCTTGTCCACCCTTGTTATTTTTGCTTTATTTGTGCATTGGGGACAGTGCACTCTCTTAAGTGTGGGGTGGGAGAATTCCTTTGGATAATTAGCCTTTTAGTATTTTAGCTTCTTATTTTTTTTTCTTCGTAGCTATGTAGTATTTTAGTAGATTAATTTATTTATTTTAATGTGGAAAATAAGAAGAAAAAAAAATCGAAAAATTTGGACTTTTCCCAACGATGGATTTTGTGGACAACTTTCTTGAGGGATTAAAGTCTAAACAAAAAACACAAAAATATGTCTTTTAGCTTTCTTTAGGTAATAATAATCCCCCGTGGTTTTTCTTTGTGCCTCGGTTCTTTTCCACGGGATGTAGTTTGAACTGGGTAGTTTTTTCTTTTAGAGTAGTTTAGGGAATAAATTGGAGGAAGAAAGATGAGATAAACCTAGGCGCCCTTGACTTGTTTGATAGTAGCATATTTAGACTTTGGCATGTGTAGTATCTTCCCTGTGATTTGAATTTATTGATGATGCCTTGCTTACTTGGATAGCATGTTTTGTGGCGCCTATGTCTCATTTACTTGACTTATGTTCACTTTGTGCTTAATGCTTAATATCTCGTGGCTTTGTGAATACTCAAATTTGTTGAGAGTTGGAATGAGACCGCTCTTAG